TAATGTGATACTATCAAGTTTTTTTCAGCATGATCGGATTGTCGTTTAATTACACAGATAATTTGTCCCCGGCAGTTATTATACTATCTGTCGCAGCAACCACAGAGATTTAATAAACTGTTAAGCATCGCTGTTATCTTTAATTTCGTCTCTGATCAGTTTGCAAGTCCTGGGGCTTTGTTTCCTCCGCCGCGGCCCAACAGCTGCGCATGCATATTGTCTTTGTACCCTGTGTGTGTGTTGTTAATGGGCATAGTTTCGTTTGTCATTTAGCTCGTATTTAGATTGTCAAGTCATGTCAGCACGGGCGTACAATCTCCCTTCAAGCCTTTAGCATCTCTTGAATGGAAAAAAAGCCCAATTGCAGATACGACTGTAGGCTTTTTCCTCTTTCCAAAAGACAGTGAATGGGAAATGTCGATGCAACATTTCACCACAATCCTGTTTCTGAATGCTCAAGGCGACATCTGTGTGTTTTGGGCAGTGGCAGCCCCATATGTGCTCCAAGTTCACTCTTTGAATGTATCTCGTTTCAGTCACATTAAAAAGCTGTGGCTGTTCTTTTCTACTGCAGCAGAGCCACCTAAAAATAGACTCATCCCATTGGGGATACCTTTAGAAGCTTCTACACATCTCTGTTTTCTCTACAACCACATGCCTTCTTACATGTTGGCTGACTTTTTGCTGCTTCATTCTCCAGTGGTGGAACGAATCATAGTTCTTGCTGCAGTGATGGAGAAAGCGAGGTAGTAATCCACTCAACGTTTCTGTTGTAATGTAATACGGGTGGGCTATTTCAGGGAGTTCATTTAGGGGCAGGGACATGGTCTACCTGCAGAGTGGACGCACGCAAAACTCTCCATTAAAACATGATTGGAAAGCAGGACCCGCCGCTCATAAAGACCTCCATCACACCTTTGTGTTAATGGAGATCACATGGCCTCAATTTTCTCTTCTGGATATTTCCGATTTATAAGGTTTGGCTGCTGCTTTAAGTGTTTGAAGTGCAAAACGTCCCAAACCTGACCGGCAGAGTGCCGTGTAATCTGAGCCGTGTAGTAGAGAAATTAAATGTTAAAATGTGTAGTGTGTTATCTCTATTGTTCTTCTTCTTTCTTGTAATAATCTGTGCTCACGAAAGTCCTGAATATTCTCCTGTTATTGAGCCATATGTTATATTATAACGCAAAGTTTTTCTAAAAGCAATTGAACATTTACCACATTGGTTCCTGTTTTTTTCTGACGTACCCTGACTGCTTTACTCTATCAGAGGAGATATTGTAAATATCCTTTCATTCGCACGCATGGTTCATACCCTATGTTATATTTTACAGCGTTAATTATATCAATCAAAACACGTTGGTAGTTAAAAGTTTTGTGCAGTTGCACCATATTGGAATAAAATAAATAAATATTTATACAAATATCAGTTGAAGTTCAAATCTGCAATAAAAGTATTTGTAGCCACAGGCACACAGCGTCTTAGACACAGGGACGAGGCGGGACGTCCTCAACAGCACAGAGACCCTCTGAAGACTCAGGCTCATGTTGAAGACATGGGCCCTTTCTCATTTTCATATCCAGTCTCTGATAGTGTTACGTTATGAGAGTGCTCTGTTTGATTCTGAAATTGTATATATTTATATAAATATATACATATATATATATATATGTGTGTGTGTGTGTGTGTCCGCGTCTGTAGCCTGTTATTGTCTCATTATACCGCACTATGAATGAATTAAAAGTAAATATATAAGTGGTCATGAACACATCTGTCCATCAGACAGAGGGCTGCTGTGCCTCCTGTCATCATTAATGGACGTCTCTTTAAAATGACCGCTCAGAGGAGAGGAGTTCTCATTTCTCTAACCGCCTGCTGCTTCCCCTCCTCTCTCCTCGGTTCCCCTCCTCGGCTCCTCCGCTCGCATCTCCTGTGGGCGGGACTAAGTATCGAGGATAGGAGTCGAGGAGGGGAGTGGAGGAGGGGAGTTAGAGAAATGAGAAAGGGCCATGGTGAAGCTCTCGGTGCAATCCTTGTCGGCCCAAACAGTCCGGAAGTCATTGATGGAAAAGTTGGAATCGTGTAGATGGAAACACTGTTATGGAAAAGTTCCCCTAACAGTCCAAGCCCCCAGGAAGTGCACCGGACTCTGATGAAAATATTCGTTGTGTCCAAACGGCGGTACTACAATTTCCGTATCAGTCTGTGACGTCACTGGGCCCAGAAAGACTTTTTCCCATTGACTAACATTGGGAAAGAGACGTCTGCAAATCAGCGGGTCATTTAAAAAAAGAAACTACCACGTATGAACTATTTGATAGCCCTTATTATAATCATTAGGTCCTTAAAGTTGTGAAATGCACTAAAAGCCGAATCTAGATTTATTTTCTGTCTCCATTCATTCTACTGAGCCGAGAGTGGGCGCTCGGGGGGCGGGGCTTAAGGGGCGCATGCTCTGTGAGCGCACATATGGGTTTTTCTGCTCTGACAGCCAGGCATGATGGGTAATCTGTGACATTTCGCTCTCTCAAAAGTTGGGCCATTTTGTCCTCATGCGCCAATGAGCTCTCATAGGAAAGAACAAGACCCCGCCTCCGACACTGTATCCAGTTCTTATTATACATCCATGTAACAGTCGGGAAGTCATCGATGGAAGCATTGTCGTCAGATATCCTGATGCAGCCTTGTTTCTATAAAGCTCAGTAAACTTCACTTCAGATATTCTAGCCAACTCCTGGCTAACGGCGATAGCTTGTCCATTAGACAGTGATCTTACAAGATGTTGCACATGATGAGAGGGGGGAAACACGGCTAATGAATGTACAAGGAAAAAATGGTAAAATAAGAGTCTACAAAACTGCTGCATCTAAATTCCAACAAAGGTCCATTATTTAAGATATATATTTGACTATTTATTAATTATTTTTAAGCTAGCAAATGCCACTTCTTGATGCTAATAGTTGCTATTTTAACCAATTGAGGTTGAAGGGCAGCTTTTTGGTTTTTCTAAAACTTCTGAAGATCAAATTAACACCAATTAAAACTCCTATTTGGCTGTTCCTAACAATAATATGTGGACTTTATTTGTCTTTAAACTAATTACATTTAGTATTTTTAAGTTAAGTTAATTTGGCAAGCTTTCCATACATCCTGCATGGCCGCTTTCAAAGAACCCCCCCTACGGTAAAGTACCTGTTGGTTGTAATCACTGATTTACCAGATGGAGAGGCAAGATTTCAGAGTAAAAATGGAAACCATTAGGCTTGTTCTTTTTTTGGCTTGCTTATGAAGAACATGAGTTATTGAATTCAGCATGCATGGTACCTTGTGTATTGGTTTTCAAAAACGTTTTTCTTATCAAGTGGGGAAAAAGTCTCCCTAAAGGCTCCTGGTGCTTTTCATCCTTCGAGGACAGAGGTAAACTCTGACTTTTCCTGCGTTTGTTTACTGGTTCAGCCCCTTTCACCAATGTGCCAGTCTATCTGCAATTGTCTCAATTGTAATCTGAGCAATTGACTGCTCACATGTTGCAATAAGGGTAAACTGAAAGGATCTTTTGTAGAGCCCCCACACATCAGTGTGGGGGCTCACTGGTGTTTAGTACCGGCCTTTTTTGGGTCCCATGTGTCCAATGATGTTTATAACAGGCATCCAACAGGTAAGATGTAGGACAGAGGGCAGTCTTTGCTGAGTGAGTAACAGATATAATGGCTCAGCTGAGAGCACGCTGGCTCAGTTTGGCTTTGGATTAACAGCATTCGATTTATTTGAGCTACAGCTACATTTACACTTATGCTGACGATGGTCTTTTCTGCGTGTCTGTGCGCATAAAGTCATCCTCAATGTGAGTAACATTTCATCTGACTTGAATTGATCTCAGCCTTTCAAAAATCATTGCTTATGCTGTCTTTCAGGTTGTGTTTTCATCAAGGGTTGATAGAATTGCTCACAATAAATGATTTTTATCTTTACATGCTACATCTCTATAACTGATGAGTCTTTTGAGAGTTTTGTAATGTGTGGTAAGATTTGGCTTTTGTTTTGTTAACATCTGCAGTCGTGTTTTCCGATCAGCCCCCTCTGCCGTGACTCACAATGCCTCCTTGTCGAGTCAATAGAAGGTTGTCGTGACGTCTAGTTGAAAGGGAATCACTGAGGGGAGGAACCCGGTGAGATCAAAGTCTCTCAGCCTCAGAAAGAATCATCCTGTGTTTGTTTGCTGCCGTTACCACTGCATTGTTTTTTCCCTTTGCAGATGAAGTGAAAGTCAGGAAGCGTCTGTCAGGACTTCCTTTTCTTGAGTAATAATTCAATACCTTCCTTGTCTGCTGCTGTTAAATGTCTCCAACATTATGACAACATCAAAACGACCCCAGCAGCAGTAATTTTACTCCACCATTTCATATGAATATTGTTTTGAATATTCCAAAGTTTCTTTATCAGCTTTTATGACATGTGACCTAATGATTCCAAATTCATGCAGAATTACAATATTGTTAAGAAAATGTAGTTATTTCTTCTTTAAAATCTATTTTTTTCCCCAAAGGTTTCCCCCCCAGTTGTTCCCTTTCACAGACTCCAAATCAATGCAACATTGTATCTCAACACTGCAGTTGTGGGCTTAACTCTTTTGTTTGGATTTTTATATTTTATACAAATAGTGTTATTGAAATTCAGCTGTTGTTAATTAAAACGTTTCCTCTTTTTTGAGCTTTCATGTCATGAGAACCCAGTGACTCCAAATCAATGCAGCATTGTACATTGTATTACTACATTGGACAAGTAGGAAATACCTATATTGCTTATAAATCTTTCTTCTTGAAAAGTCTCAAAAAGTGGCTTTCATTCCATGTGACCCAGTGACATCCAAACTGGATATTCTTTTTTTTTTCATTTGGTGACATCCTTGAATTATTCACTCCTCTGAGCTTTGAGGTTTTTCACTCACAGATCACATACAGTGGGAGTGCATTAACCTTGGTGTGTGTGTGTCCCCCAGGAGGCCGAGGGGTCCTTGCCCTACCTGCTGGTGCTGTGCGGGGACCACGGCATGTCGGAGACCGGCAGCCACGGAGGATCCTCCGAGCCGGAGATCAATACGCCCCTGGTGCTCTTAAGTCCGGCCTTCAAAAGAAAAGGTAAACCGTCTAATTTTGCTTAAATAAGCTGTGGGCAGATTCTGTGTGGCGGGTGGGGGGGGTGATACCATTACAGCTTCAGCCTGTCAACATGCAGAGTCATGAAGTGTGTGGACAAGACGTGATTTTAAAAGCAATAATTGGGAATGTTTGAAGTGGGGTTGTATGAGGTTCTTATCCATAGTCAGTGTATTCCCTACATTAGATGGATGTCAGCACCCCCCCCCTGTTTGGAGTAACAGATATTACTACTAGGGATGCCAGCGATTATTTGGTCATTTGAATATTCGTTACAGTCTTTTCCCTGGCTTAGTTTCAACCAAAATATAGACTAATGCTAATAATAGTAATAGTATTAATAATTGTAAATGGCCATTGGTCACACCACCAGTTTGTTTTACTGTAAACTTGGAGGAAGCGTCGAATATTAGATTATTATTCGCTAGGGCTGTCCGATTTTCGATTTTGATCATGGTCAGTTTCTGGCATCCCTAATTAGTACCAGCAAGAAGCTAAGCAATGTACTGCTGTGGGTGGAGGCAGCAGAAAAACAAAAGCAACAAAATAGTATCAGTTAAAGTCAGTGCCATATCCTGATCCTCTAATAAACCCTAATTTTAAAGCGTCTTTGAGCACAAGGAAAAGCGCTATATAATTACCATGTAGTATTATTAGGGTCTGAGACCTAGGTCGGCGAAGACCCTATTGAAATCGGTCGCGAAGCGACCGATAAACCTGCTAAAAACACCAAAAACAGGGAAATCGACCCGCAAAAGCAGAGAAAATGTTCGGAAATGATGACGGCTGATAGGCTGGGTTAGCCCAGTCACGTGGGCGCAGCCCACGTGATCGAAACTCGCATAATTGATATCGTACGATCAATGTAGTCGCTCGCGTAGCGAGCGATAACCATGCAAAACCCTCCAAAAACAGGGAAAAAGAGGGCCAAAAGCCCATTAAAGATGGCCGACATCATGTCGGGACGGCCCCTACAGTGAGGATCTCCATCCACTTCAATGTTAAATCGAACAAGATTGAAATTGGACGGATTATTATTAGGGTCTGAGACCTAGGTCGGCGAAGACCCTATTGAAATCGGTCGCGAAGCGACCGATAAACCTGCTAAAAACACCAAAAACAGGGAAATCGACCCGCAAAAGCAGAGAAAATGTTCGGAAATGATGACGGCTGATAGGCTGGGTTAGCCCAGTCACGTGGGCGCAGCCCACGTGATCGAAACTCGCATAATTGATATCGTACGATCAATGTAGTCGCTCGCGTAGCGAGCGATAACCATGCAAAACCCTCCAAAAACAGGGAAAAAGAGGGCCAAAAGCCCATTAAAGATGGCCGACATCATGTCGGGACGGCCCCTACAGTGAGGATCTCCATCCACTTCAATGTTAAATCGAACAAGATTGAAATTGGACGGATTATTATTAGGGTCTGAGACCTAGGTCGGCGAAGACCCTATTGAAATCGGTCGCGAAGCGACCGATAAACCTGCTAAAAACACCAAAAACAGGGAAATCGACCCGCAAAAGCAGAGAAAATGTTCGGAAATGATGACGGCTGATAGGCTGGGTTAGCCCAGTCACGTGGGCGCAGCCCACGTGATCGAAACTCGCATAATTGATATCGTACGATCAATGTAGTCGCTCGCGTAGCGAGCGATAACCATGCAAAACCCTCCAAAAACAGGGAAAAAGAGGGCCAAAAGCCCATTAAAGATGGCCGACATCATGTCGAGACGGCCTATACTGAGGATCTCCCATCCACTTCAATGTTAAATCGAACAAGATTGAAATTGGACGGATTATTTATTAGGGTCTGAGACCTAGGTCGGCGAAGACCCTATTGAAATCGGTCGCGAAGCGACCGATAAACCTGCTAAAAACACCAAAAACAGGGAAATCTACCCGCAAAAGCAGAGAAAATGTTCGGAAATGATGACGGCTGATAGGCTGGGTTAGCCCAGTCACGTGGGCGTAGCCCACGTGATCGAAACTCGCATAATTGATATCGTACGATCAATGTAGTCGCTCGCGTAGCGAGCGATAACCATGCAAAACCCTCCAAAAACAGGCCAAAAGAGGGCCAAAAGCCCATTAAAGATGGCCGACATCATGTCGGGACGGCCTATACTGAGGATCTCCCATCCACTTCAATGTTAAATCGAACAAGATTGAAATTGGACGGATTATTTATTAGGGTCTGAGACCTAGGTCGGCGAAGACCCTATTGAAATCGGTCGCGAAGCGACCGATAAACCTGCTAAAAACACCAAAAACAGGGAAATCGACCCGCAAAAGCAGAGAAAATGTTCGGAAATGATGACGGCTGATAGGCTGGGTTAGCCCAGTCACGTGGGCGCAGCCCACGTGATCGAAACTCGCATAATTGATATCGTACGATCAATGTAGTCGCTCGCGTAGCGAGCGATAACCATGCAAAACCCTCCAAAAACAGGGAAAAAGAGGGCCAAAAGCCCATTAAAGATGGCCGACATCATGTCGGGACGGCCCCTACAGTGAGGATCTCCATCCACTTCAATGTTAAATCGAACAAGATTGAAATTGGACGGATTATTATTAGGGTCTGAGACCTAGGTCGGCGAAGACCCTATTGAAATCGGTCGCGAAGCGACCGATAAACCTGCTAAAAACACCAAAAACAGGGAAATCGACCCGCAAAAGCAGAGAAAATGTTCGGAAATGATGACGGCTGATAGGCTGGGTTAGCCCAGTCACGTGGGCGCAGCCCACGTGATCGAAACTCGCATAATTGATATCGTACGATCAATGTAGTCGCTCGCGTAGCGAGCGATAACCATGCAAAACCCTCCAAAAACAGGGCAAAAGAGGGCCAAAAGCCCATTAAAGATGGCCGACATCATGTCGGGACGGCCCCTACAGTGAGGATCTCCCATCCACTTCAATGTTAAATCGAACAAGATTGAAATTGGACGGATTATTCATTATTATTAGGGTCTGAGACCTAGGTCGGCGAAGACCCTATTGAAATCGGTCGCGAAGCGACCGATAAACCTGCTAAAAACACCAAAAACAGGGAAATCGACCCGCAAAAGCAGAGAAAATGTTCGGAAATG